CCTGTCTCCCAGCTTCTGGGTGGGGACTTCTGGGAGCGAGTCTCTGCTGACACCCAACAGCAGGCGAGTCTGGCAGAGCGGGCAGGGAGCCGCCCCCGCCTCTGGCCAGCCGGACACGCTCTCAGTGGGGAGAGATCAGGTCGGCCCCACACGGCCCCCGCGGCCCTCCTTCCCTAAAGGCCCGGAACACTGCCCGCTGCTGGGCCCCACCGGGCACCTGCCCTCCTCCCACCCCCCTCCAGGAAGCCTGGGTCCCTCCCAGTCAGGCCAGAAGCGGAAGGACCCGCTCCAGCCTGGAGAGGTTTACTGCCCCGGGATGTTTGTTCTGGGCGGTTCCTGTGCTCACCTGGCTGTTCACCTGTCCTTGCTGGGGAAGCAGACCTGCAGGCAGAGCCACCGCGGCCAGCGGGCACTGTGGCAGGCCCCCTGAGGCCTGGCTGTGGGGCGGGCACGGGCAGTGCTGGGTGAGCCCACCTCCCAACAACAGAGGTTCACACACACCTCCCAGGGTCCCTGGGAACCGCCAAAGCCGGTCACACTGCCTCCTGGAACAGGGCCACATGTGAACTGCACCTCGGAGAGCAGGGGCAGAGCTAGGGGTCGGCGTCAGGCGGCCCAAGTCCCCGGGGGACCGGTCAGTGCCCAGCTGTCTTTCACGGCACCCTCCCTCCGAGCGAACAGGCTCCCACGCGGCAGGAAGGGCCGAGAGAGCAAAAGGAAGGACTTCCTGGTGGCAAAGCTGGGAGATGCGGACACAGGACGTGCGTCTTCCTGCTGCCACAGGGCCTCCACAGGACGGCGGTGTGGGTGGGCCGCCCCCAGCCTGAACCCAGGGTCCCCGAGCTTCCTCTTCCTGCACCGCTGCGTTCCAGTGGGGAAGCTCAGGGCTTCATGATGAGACGCCCCCACCCCCGGCCACCAACCTGCCCAGAGTCACCACAGGGCCCCCAGCGGGGGACGGGTGTTTAAGGCACACAGGCACCATAAAGGGCTCAAGCACGGGGCCACATGTGCGCCCACAGCCACACACACACACCCGTGCCCCGTCTCCATCAGCCAGCGTATGGGGCCCCCGCCAGGCCCAGCACGTCTCAAACCCCATCCTAGTGTCTTGGGCTCACCTAACAAATGACCACAGCCTGGACGGCTTAAAACAGCACACTGGCTCCCCATGGTCCTGGAGGCCAGGCGCTCCACAAAGTGCCAGCAGGGCCACATCACCCATCTCCGCCTCCCTACGCAGTCACAGGGCCTCCTCCTGCCCCTCTGCACGTACAGCTCACTTCACAAGACGTCCCCCGAACGCCTGCCGTCCCTGCGGGTCCAGGCGCGCACCCTCAGACACAGGCCTCCACCTAGGTGACGACACCTACTGAGCACCTGCCGCGTGTCAGGCACGGCTCCAGGCGCTGAGGACACACTCCCAGGCTTCTGGGGCTGCAAGTCCAGTGGGCAGATGGACAACGGCCAAGTCAGCGGTACGGACGACGACAATGCCCACGTGTGGCTGGGGGCAGGCAGCCTCCCCCCAACCCCGGTCCCAGCCCTCGCTGCTCTCTCGGCTTGCCTTGAGGTTTTATTCTTTTATCTGTCACTATCTGTCTCTGAGTAAAATGTCACTCCGTGAGGCAGGGGCCAGGGCCGTCTTGTCTAGTATGCAGAGCCGAGTACACAGCAGGCACTCAATAACGGTCAAACGAACGGCTGCATGACGCCTGCTTGCACCAGCACGTGCACAAACCCACATGTGCACGCCTGTGCTCGCCCGCGGGCAGTACATGCCGGGACAGGCGCGCGCGTGCATGCACACACGCGCACACACACACACACACGCACGCACGCGCTGGGCCTCTAACCCCAGCACAGCTGGCAGCAGATGGAAGCTCCTGGGGCTCGGAAAGGCCCCAACTCTCCACGGACAACTGTGCCGTCACCCTGAGGCTGCTCCGGCAGACAAACCGTCTTTCCTTCCAGTCACTGATGTCTAGTGCTAACCTTGTCCAGGCTCTGGGCTCAGTCCCCGGCCACCCTATCCAGGACCCTGCATGCACCCCCGTAGGGCTCAGCCCAACAACCGGTTCCCAGTCCCTCCCCAGCCCCCCACATCCTCAGCTCTGCCCGCAAAAGCTCAGCTTCAGGGGTTCCACGAGGAGGCACGTTCTGCCATCGTGTCTTCTGCCCCTGGGGGTGGCCAGGCACCTCCCTGGGTGGGGAGCAGAGGCTGCTGCCCAAGTGCCACAAACACATCTCACAACCTTGGGCAGGTAGAGGAATTACACACAGGCTTCTTTCTCAAAACTAGCTTTCCCATAGAGCGTGGTGCCTGGGGACAGTCCCCGGGGATAGAGGGGACATCTCGGTGCAGGGGAAGAGCCCCAGCTGCTAGCCCTGACTGCCCGTCGTGCTCTCTGACCTGGACAAGGGCACCTCTGCCTGGGCCTCAGTTTCTCCTCTGTAGAGCAAGAGGCCTAAGGGCCTCTGGGCCCTGGGACTTCCCTGCACGGCTTGGCATCCACCTCCGCCCCCAGTCCCCGCCCTTGGCCGCAGCCGCCACTTCTCAGGAGAATGCTTTCAAACATTGTGCTTTTTCCTTCT